ATCATTTCGAAAACCTGGGATTGCGACAAGTTGCAGTTTCGGAACCTTCACTTTCTTCAGAAGTTTAAACCATTCAAATTTCAACTTCATTATGATTTTGTTTGAAACTCTTTCCGCAAATTGTACATGCTCTAAGTTTGGATTGCGCCAGAAATAATCCTTATTTGTGCCATTATTGGGATAGAAATGCATCGATGAAATCATAACCATCACGAGATGAGCAGATATAGAAGGAGTGGTGTCGAAGTATGTCCATTGCATACATATTTCTGTATTATTTAATTTATGTTTGTATATTTTCTCTTGTCGTATCGGCATATTTGAGAAAACTGAATAATTGCAGTGATGCTTTATGGAAACGTCGAAAGTGGCTCTTATTGGCTTGTCCCAATATGGGAACAATCGTTGGGCCTCAATCGTCGGGAAATTTGTTTCGTTCCATCTACGATATTTTAAAGTTATTAATTCGAATGACTATCAATGTTTAATTATTTATCGATATAGAATCATCTAACATATATATCAATGATATGTTAAAAAGTATTATACCATATATATACTGTTTTAATGACTGTTTTAATGAGGTAATAGAACAAACATGTCTTGTAAAAAGCAGTAATAAATAACATTTAATAACACTGTGCTTTTAATATATTAACATTTACTTACTTTTCATTTCCTGATTTTTGATACCGTAATACTATTAATTGCGTTCTATATATTTTCTATGTATCCTTAAAAAAAGAGATGCATAATATTCTGTTTTTAGCGACTTACCTTGTATATTAAAAATCAATGCCTATTATAATACAGTTCTTTTTTTTTTACAATTAAAAGAATTAATTACAATTGTTTCACGAGCGTTAATATTGTTACACCTTAGCCACTCATATATTTAGACTATCGTAATCTTTCCGTTTCGAGAAGTAATCGAGAACTAAAAATGTCGATGTTACACATCATAACAAAATAAGGCAAAATATATAAGGCTGTCTTAGAATATCGATGTAATAGATATCATAATAAATATGTTAGGTCAAGTCCTACAAAATTTAGGATGGAATAAAATCTATATCTGTATTTTAAGAATCATTAATATGTTTCTGTTAATTTTTAAATATTTTTATTTTGTTGTTAATTTCATATGTACTTTTCAATAACTAATAAAATAATATTCCAGTTTGTACATAAACATTTGTATCCATATATGTATACAATTATTATTACTCATTGATTTTTAATTGTAATTAATTAATCAACTTTAACCTTTTCTGATTTTAAAAATTATAGATATATCTGCTATGCTTTTCGATTTCAGAGAATCGTATTTCTATTTTCCTTTCAATACACCATTTCCAATATTCCAGAAGATTTTTATACGCTCTAAAATTTTCTTGAGCAATTGCCTAAATCAATATATTTTAGCATTAAGAAATAATAATGTTATCTCATCTTAAAAGGCTGTCACAACATATGTTATTGTTTTTAATATATAATTAGAGAACAAAATATTATATATAACATGCAGAAGATGTAAGCTTACAGTTAAAAATAAAACATTAAGATATAAATAAGTATAATATGTATGTAACATGACATATTTACCTCGTGAGATCTGTTTCCTTTGCAAAAATTTTCAGTAGCGCGAACAAACGCGGCCTTTTCTATAATATTTGTCGTGGTATGTCTGATCTAAAATAAATTATTTCGATTTATTGTCAATAAGTAGTAATTTAATTTAATACTATAATAATGTGGCGCTACATTATTCTTTCTCCTCTCCAGCATGATTGATATAATATATATTATTATTCTTCAAATTTTGCTCTATTAATAAAATCTATAATTATCTACCTTGATATTATTGACTCTTGTACTTGTAAACGGAAAGATGCAGGACATATATTCAAAAGCTTTGATCATAGGATACCATACTATGTAATTTGTCTCTTGCGCAAGATAGCTCGACAAATTCCAGAATATGGAAGGATCGAGTTGTTGTATTATCATAAAATGAAATGCATCGGCGATGATTTTAGCACGATTGAGAACATGTACTTTCGTATATTCTCCAGAGTTCAAATATTTTGCAATTCTTTGCCAGTTTTCAGGATCGTAATTAACACGATAGTATCCTGTAGCAAATAATTTTTATATATTATGAAATCATCATCTAATATGGAATTTATTAAGAAATATTATGATTATAAATTTAAAATTCTGTTATATTTTTCGGAAGACTTATCGAGAAATGTTTCTCGAATATATACATTTTTTTTTAAATAATTGTGAATATTAAGAGGAAAAATGTAAATTGTGATATCAATTATATTACACAGACATTTTATAAATTATAACATTTTAGATCGACAGTTTGTGATTTTGTGCAATTAAACTATGTAAGGATTTGCAAAACAATTTACATTCATATCGACATAATACATACACATAAATAATAATTTTTACAGTAGAATCTAACTTTTTTTCTCTTAATATATATTGTAAAACTATTAAATTATAATTTAATAACGTTAAACTAAAGTAAAAATATAAGAACAAAAAATGATTAAAACTCCAACGATATTGAACGCGTATATTTGACAACATTTAATTATTGTATATTGTCAAATGCATTTGATAACATACAATATAAGCAAATACAAATATATAAAAGACAAATTAGAGCCAGACGCGGATTTAAGTCGTGAATAATCTATTCGACTTAATCAAAATTAACGAAAAATGAACGTTTCGATATTTAAGATCATTTCCAGCATTATTTGGGGGATATATGATTAATAATATATTGATGTGTTTAATTTTGTATATAGACTTGTGTGTGTTGTCTGTCACCAACGACTCTTATGATGCGAGTGAAGCACATCAGATTCGCTATCAATGTGGAGAGGCTGTTCATTTCTACCGCTATAAATTTTGATTAGTTTTATTTATCGTTGTAATGCGCTAAAATTTTGATTAATAATGCTAATGACGATCATGGATCGAAATATTTATGTATCATTAAATGAAACAGATTATTTACGAAGTAAATATTAGTATTTATTGATATAAAAATGTAAAAGATAAGTAAACGTGTGAATAATTAGAATATTCCGATTATATTATCATATATATAAACAAAAAAAAAAAAAAAAAACAAAAAAATGAAAGAAAGAGTATTGCAAGGAATTATAAAAGAAAAAATAGAAAACAAAATAGATGTAATATAAATTTGCCAATTGTAATATAAGGCAAAATAAAAAAAATTTGGAATTTGTTTTTCTTAGATGAGGCCGAAAATAAAGAATATAGATAAACAATATATTAAGATCTATTATGTGATAAATATTAAAAGATAATGACACATGTAAGACGAGGCAAGATAATACAGTAGAAGAGAGATAGTAAGGTAGAGAAACGAAATAGAAATTTTATTGTTTTATAAGAAAAGAGAATAAAAGTTTAAGAACAAAAAAAGAAATCTAAGTTGTTTATATTAATCAATAAAAGAAGATCATCAATCAGATAAAAAAAAGTAATTTGGCAAAGGTTTTACACACATATATAATATATTACTCACCGCATATTTAAATATCGGTAGACAACTTTCCAAAACACTTCCTTAGTAACCAAATATTGCATCATGTACAATATTAAAGGTGCTACAATTCATATCATATGTAAGAGTAACTTACGTACATGGTTTAAATAGACAAACAATTACAAATGTATATAAATTACAATGTCTATAAATTTATAATTTAATAGTTATATTATTTTTATATTATTAATTTTTTTTTCTTATAACTTCTACATTTCAAAATTTATAAACAATTGTTTAATTATATTTACTGATTTTTACCTTTAATGTAACGGGAATAAGAGGCAAGTGAATTAATTTCAAGACTGCTGGCACCTGATAGAAGAGACTGCGTAAGATTATAATCATCCAACTGAAGAGATTCATATTGAGCCTGAACTATGAATAAATCTAACATCTTCGAACTTTTGTAATGCTAAAGAGAAAAGTTTTAATATTTTAATGATTAAGTAAATATTTATCTAGTCAAAGGAAATGTACACATTAATAAGATGCATTAATACTCCTTGATTACCGAAATTATAATATATAAATTATAATTTCAACATGAGTTATTTTTAAATCAAGTTTTTATTTTTACTGCAAAATTTATAACAATTTAATAGTACCGAACAATCAGCACATAGTAATTCCTTAAGATGTGAAAGGGTTTATAACAAGCAGCTTGTACATTTTTAATATTATAAATATATAGTTCGAGAACTTTATATTGTTATGATATCTAGCATTTCATTTAATTGCGTAAATTCAGCATTAAAAATATACATTAAGAATACATAATAACCTCGAGAGCATTAACGGCATTCACAACGTCTATTCCGAACAATGTTGTAAGACCATCACTTAACCACAAATCAGACCCCCAAGGTAGATTAATTAAATTACCGAACCATTGATATGTTATTCCACGCGCTATCAATTGTGCCACTTCAATTTTATGCGCAACAGAATGTAGATTTTCATTGTAAATAACACTTGTTTCTCTAAAAAAACATAAGAATCAAATTTATAAAACTTAAACAATAAACATAAAATTGCATATAAAGAATGTTTTTTCTAATTGCAGCACTTAGAATATCTCCGCTATTTTTAGAGATACGAAAATATTGATCTTGAAATTTCCGACGCGCCTCCTTTAAAAAATTATTATTAGCATATTATGGTCCTCTTGATACAGTGCTACTTTCATAATCACAATATTTTAGTATTTCTAAAAATAGTGGACATATTCTTGTAAATGCTATCGTTAGAGGCAACATCCTATATAATAATAATCTTAATGTTTCTCCTGAAAAGCGTAAAAAAGCAACGTTTTCTGAACTTAATAAATGATAAATGACGACGTAAGAGTTATTATAGAAACTAATTATGCAATGTGATGTACGATATATGTTTTATACATATATATATATTCTATTTAGAATTGCATATAGTTTCATGTTAAAATATAAAATAATTTCTCAGTAAATAACCATATACTAAATTTAGAATATGTATTGGTGTACTTATTCTAATTTTGATTAAAAAAATTGTTTTTCGATGGATTAATATTTGTTTCAAATTTTTCTATTACCTTATTGCGACGAAACCGAAGTTCATATTAATATCATTTCGAAAACCTGGGATTGCGACAAGTTGCAGTTTCGGAACTTTCATCTTCTTAAGAGGTTTAAACCATTCAAATTTCAACTTCATTATGATTTTATTTGAAACTCTTTCCGCAAATTGTACATGCTCTGAGTCTGGATTGCGCCAGAAGTAATCCTTATCTATGCCATTATTGGGATAGAAATGCATCGATGAAATCATAACCATCACGAGATGAGCAGGAATAGAAGGAGTGGTGTCGAAGTATGTCCATTGCATACATGTTTCTGTATTATTTAATTTATGTTTGTATATTTTCTCTTGTCGTATCGGCATATTTGAGAAAACTGAATAATTGCAGTGATGTTTTATGGAAACGTTGAACGTGGCTCTTATTGGCTTGTCCCAATATGGGAACAATCGTTGGGCCTCAATCGTCGGGAAATTTGTTTCGTTCCATCTACGATATTTTAAAGTTATTAATTCGAATAACTATCAATGTTTAATTATTTATCGATATAGAATCAAGTAACATATATATCAATGATATGTTAAAAAGTATTATACCATATATATACTGTTTTAATGACTGTTTTAATGAGGTAATAGAACAAACATGTCTTGTAAAAAGCAGTAATAAATAACATTTAATAACACTGTGCTTTTAATATATTAACATTTACTTACTTTTCATTTCCTGATTTTTTTATATATGTAGTCTTTAAGATAATATTATCGTCTTCTGTGGTATTAATTGCATTAAGAAATCTTATTTTTAATGTATAATTTTTAGGTAATAACTCATTTTCGAAATAAAGAACACAAATTTGCGTTACATTATCATATTCGATTTTTTTCGTTACATGATATTTTTCTTCTTCTGGTTTAAAATTAATAACGTCTTTTTCCATCAATTCTGTTGATAAATGGCGAATTGAATTCGATGAATTTAAACTTATTTTTATAGTTGGATGAAAAATATGAATAGTGACATTGATTTCGCCATAGAAGACAACTCTGCCACTTGCTTGATGCTCTTTTATATATGTATTAAAGGTTTGATATAAAAAGGTCATATATTCGTCATAGATTTTATCGTCTTCTTTGAAATATGGTACTAATATGACGTTGTAATGCATTGGTATTACATCCAAAATGTTATTATATGTAATCGATGTATCGATAATATCTTCTGTATTTTCATCGGCAGAAAGTGTTGTCGCAATGATAAATGTGAGACCGCCATAAAGTAACAGTCTTAGAAACGCCATATCACTTATTTAGGTACCTAAAATAACTTTCTTTGTTGAAAAAGAAACAAATATAAAGCCCACTTTACACGATCTATAATTTGCAACAGAATTCAAGACAGAATTCTATTTATAATTTTATATATCAAATTATGAATATAATTATAGATAAGAAAACATTTTTGTATTACACAAACCATAATTTGATCTTAAATTATGTATAGAATATTCGATTGTTTCTTTCTTTGACATATGGTTGGATTATTAAAAAATACGACATAGTTATTAAGAAATACATATAAATATAATAAAAGTATAAAACATATAGCATGATGAAATAAATAAATTACTATCAGTAATTTACTACAGTTGTTGGAAATAAAATTTAAGAAA